CCTCTTCGTGGAGGAACGACACAGGACCCTTGCGCTGTTCTTTCTGTCTGCTCGGCCCTCCCTGGGTTTGCTGCTGGTTCTTCCCGGGTTGGCTACCGACCCTTCCACCTCTGTGGAAGGGCGGTTCCCCCTAGCCACTTTCCCCACTTCCGCGGGGGAGCGGCACACCGCCGGCCGGCTCTCTTGGGGGCTGCACAGGTGTTCCTTCAGATAGATGTTCCCCTTAGATGTTCCCGGTGCATGTTGTCTCTCTCCTCCTTTATAGTCCTCTTCTACCAATCCCAACTCTGCTACCCACACACCAAGTACGCTGCTCTCCTCCAATCAGGAGCAGGTCCTACAGTTTATTGGTTGAACTGGAGGCAGCTGCGTAGAAGCTGTTTCTCCCTTCTCAGCGCCATATTGTGGGAGAGCAGATGCATAGACTGTCTTAATTCCAGTAACTTAGTCTAGTCCGAGTTGCTCCCAGTTGCTCCCCACAGGAGCTGAGGGTTTGTGCCTCCCCTTTCTGTGTTCTAGGCCCCCTCATTCCTTGAACCTGTCTTGTGCCCCGGGACTATGGACCATGCTCGACCAACTGTAAATAACTCCTCCCTTGCTCTCCCTCCCTCCTCTGGGTTGGCCCAGTCTCTGTGATCTCTAGCTAGCTCTCAGTCCGGACAGAGACCTCCAAATCATGTGCACATGGGCTCTGTTCTCTGCTGTTTAGCCTCCCCATGTCTGTGGAGATGTCCCGCTACTGGCGTGGCCCCATAGAGGACTGACCTCTAATCCATCTACTGAAGTCTGGGACAGGGGATGCCTTGACTGAATTTCAGTAGATCCGGGCTATCGGGGAGACCATGGGATCTGGCCAATCCCAAGGGTGGGACTCAAAATGCCCCCTGGCCTGCCTGCTAAAGAACTTGAAGAAACTGAGACTGGCCCAGGACCTATGGAGTAAACGCCTAATCTTCTACTCCACCCAGGCATGGCCTAATAACCTTGAGAATTTCTGTCTCAGGGAGAGAAAGTGGTCAGAGGTCCCGTATGTCCAGGCTTTCTGAGACCTCCGTTCCCAGGCGAGGTTCCCCAGTCTGAAGCACAACTTCCCCGGCCCCCGCTCTGTTGCTCTGTTGGGACTGGGGAACCTTGCCCAGGAGCGGAACCCCAATAAAAGCCTGTGAATTAATTGATTCATCTGCCTGGGAAGATTTGTTATGCACAGGACACCTTGCATTCATCAGTAGAAAAAAGTTGAAGCAAAGCACTCTCTTAATCTCACAAAGTCATGTGGCTAGGAGAAGGCATATCTGATTTTTTCTAATCAGCCTTCCTAAAATTTACAAATATTTTTCTGGCAACAGTGAATTTGGCTCATCATAGAAAGTTCTTTGAAGGCTCTTGTTAAACTTGTTCCTCTTTGAAAAAGTAAATTTTACTGCACGATACTGCAAGAGGTAAATTTTTGATGTGTAGGAAATTTGAAAACCAATTATGCTTAGTCTCTAATTTCTGATTTACTTATAGAACAGAAATTACACAGACAAATTTCACTTTGTCTAATTTTTTAAAAATAGTTATTTATTTGACAAGCAGGCACAGACAGACAAGGGGAAAGACCGAGAGAGAGGTCTTCCATTTGCTAGTTCACTCCCCAAATGGACACAATGGCCAGAGCTGGACCAACTCAAAGCCAGGAGCTTCTTCACACATGGGTGCAGGGGTCCAAGCACTTGCACCGTCTTCTACAGGGGTTGGGGGGAGGGGTACAGTTCAACTAGGCTGTGGCTGGTGGGGGAAGTGAGGGTTGAGTCTTGGGCTAAGGTCTGGTGGTGCTCACAGGGGCCTAGCTATCCTAAGAGCCAGGGCTGCTGTTACCTTCTTGCTGACCCAACCACACAAGATTAGAGATCCTCCCTCCACTGTCTGTGATCCTGCTGGGATCTTAGGACCTGGAGCTTCCAATAACCTCCTTCACAAGGGATGCAATTCACTCACAATTTACTGAATGTGGAGCTTTTCATCCTCCTCATGTTGTTGGCTTAATTGTCTTTTAGGTTTTTCATTTTGGTTTTTTAATGAGGGTACGAGAAGCAGCTCCCCAGGGGCCAGCAGATCCCTCCACTCTCCCTTCACAGGCAGCAGGGAAACCCCTGCTGTGCCATTAGCAAGTGCTGAAACCCCCTGTGTGTTCAAACAAAGCTGGCCCTTTGAGCCTCAACCTGCAGGACTCAACTGGGGCCCAGGAATGGCAGGCGGAGGATGGGAAGGCGCGCCTCCTGACTTATTCCTCAGGATCCTAACTCCCCAAGCCATACCCGTCCCCCCAGACTGACTCCCCATGGCCGACCAAATGGGGCAAATGGATGGATCTCCTGGACTTCAGGACCTGGTAAATCGCCCTGGGGCACTCAGTACTCAGGCCCGCCTTTGTGTGGAAGGGGGATTCTGTTGCCCCTCTACCAGGGACCTGCCTGGTGTCTGCAATGGAAAAGAGCGTGTGTGTGGTGTAAATGTGTTTGTGGCTCCACGGCCCTGCAGCTACAGAGTCTAAATGGGCCGTAACCTGCAGCTTCGTGTTCACCAGGCAGGCGAAGCAATCTCACTCCGGATCAGTGCCTGTTCCGGAGGTCTTTATCTCTTGTTTTGTACAACCAAGGGGGACACATTATGGGAAAATTCCATTCAGAACCAACTGTTCTAAACTGTATAATAAAAACTTTAAAAATGTTGTCTTAATTTAAAAGTTCTTAACAGGTTATTCCAAAATATAAATGGGTTTTTATCAGCTCTTTTCTGTGCTGCTGTCCCTGACTTAGCTGATAAGAGTTTCATTTGTCTTGAAGGTTTCATGTTTTTCTATTTGTAGTACTGAGACTACGTTGTTTACCTGTTTTTAATGTTTGAGTGGTTACCCAACTGATCAAAAATGTACTAATTTTGGCTAAATGGTTTGACTCTGACAGCTTAAATTCTAAATCGAGTCTTCCAACTTTGGGCTTCCAGTCGGATCCCTGAAACTCTCAAAGGATGAGACTCTGAATTTGTTAAAGTAACAGCTGCTTGAGTCAATTCAGATTATGTGAAATGTATTAAAATGTTATAAATGGTGTCAGACCTATGCTGTATTCATGTTTTTACTTTCCAGCTAAAATGGTCTTATAAAAATAAGAGTAAATTCTGTGTATACAAGCCTTTATGTTGTTAACTAAAATAAGCCAATGCAGATTGGTTCAGAAATTTGAGGTAATGCAAATACCCTTCGGTTTGCTCAGTGGCTTGCTTGCTCAGTTTTACATGTCTTTGATGTGCTTTAAACTTGTTTCTTTTAATGATAAAGATCTTTTCAAAGTTGTAACCATGCACTAGTGACCATGTTTGCTGCTCAGGAGGTGTTGTCCTTATATTACTTAAAAGCATGGAAATATAATTTTGACTTCTATTTCAGATACTGGTATGGTATTCATGAATAACTGTGTCTTAAGTCATCTAGGCATCAGTACTAAGTAAAACTTGAGAGAGTGTACTATGTGTACTTTTAACATCTCAAATTCGATAAGAGAGACTGAGTTTGTTAGCATGTATTCTCATAGGTTGTTCACACATGACAATTCAAGGCTATATAAAAGTAACTACGGGTGTAAAGTTTCCAAAGGTGTAAACAAGTCATAAAAAGTTTTAAAATGTTTAAAAATGGTCTAAATCATAAATCTTAAAATCTGTTTTCACAAAAACTGTAATGTCTATTTTAACAGTGTCTGCTTAATCGGCTACCCTGCCATTTCTAAAATTAGGTCCTGTAAGCTCTTTTTGACTCTGTTAAATTATTCTGAGTTATGTGATAATTTTATGTACTAACTCTAATGTTCAGGGTTTTTATTTCTGGCTTACTCGACAACAAGAGGGATAAAATTCACGTTCTGGCTAAGTAATTTATTGTGTAACAACCAGGCATTGCTAGTTCAAATGTAGATCAAATGGAGGTCTAGCCAAAAGGAAAAAGTGTGCCAAAAGAGACTTAGAGGCGACGGGAGATGGTTATGCGGCAAATGCTAAAAAACTGGGTTCCAGGAGCCCAAAAAGGCTCTAGTGTCCACAGGCTACACGGTGAAAACCCAGAAACCCAGGCCCATAACCCACTGACTACACAGTAAATATCCGGAGGCCAAAGGATGGCAGAGACCTCTGCCACAATTTCTCCTCTAAGTCAGGCTACGCAGTAAGCGCTGGTTAAATGCTGGTTAAATCTGAAAGCCCAGGAAGTCAGGCTAGAGACCCGACTCACTGCCTCACTTCTCCTCTTTTCTTTTCCAGAAGGAAAGTTACCACTGTTCTGCAGGACTCTCCACAGTAATATACAGTTTGATCCCCAGACCTTATGTAAGGGATGACTGACCATTTCTATAATAATGCCTGGTCACAGTATAGAGGACCCAACAACATAACCAGAATAAGAGGTTAAAATGTGACAGCTAAATTGATTTTTCAGTGTACGCAGCAAATGGGCAGAACTCCCCTTTTAAACCAAACTGAAAAATAGATAAAAAGTTACACTAGTAATCTCAAAGTCCAAAAATCAGGAACGGGGTTGAGCACCCCCTTGACTGACATCATAGAGGCTGCCTCCTTGGTCCACTTTATTAGAGACCAGGAAAATGAGGAGCAAGCTAGCAGCAGGAGCAATGTAAGGATGGGCAACAGGCCAATCAGTGGCTGCTTTACACGGTGATCCACTGTCAAGAAAACCCAGCAAAGCCAATGCATCCCAAACGGCGCCTGTTGCTGACATAAGGAGCCAGGGCATTGGGCAAGCAGCTGTTGTAACAGTGACTGCCTTCTGTCAGCTCTGCCAAGAGCAAGACTACTGGACATGGAACTGCCCTGGGTGTCGAAGGACTCCTGGTTCAGAACCGCAGACCCTGTGGCCCCGAGCTAAAAAGCCTTTGGCTCTGCCCAGCTTCCAGCTCCAGCCACTGCTATTGGGGATGGCCTAGGGTCAGTAAAATGTAAGTTGCCTATTTCCATCAGCCTCCTATTCAGCTCTCCTCCTAGTCCAGCCATGTAATGCAAGTCAACAGGGTGCCTCCCTTAAGGGAGATTTACATCTCTTACAATTCTCTTAACAGCACCCCGTGGATAGGTCTGGGCCTCACACACCCAGCCAGGCCTTAAAAGTCCATCCAATAGTATTAAACTTAAAAAGCCCTCCCTGCCAGTTCCAGGGGAAAGTGGTCCCCTCCACTCCTGTACTGAGACTATAGACTTGATCTATGCCAGAAGAAGGGACCCAAGAGACAACCCCTGACTAACGCAGATGAGGTTTGAGTCACAGATGGAAGCAGCTTTGTCAGACGGGACCTGCTTCTCAGGGTATGCAAGAGTTACAGCATGCTCTGCCCCCAGGAACTTTTGCTCATTTAGCAGAACTGATTGCCTTAACCAGAGCTCTAGATCACACAAGGGATTTGTAAGGCATCTTCACTCTGCATGGAGACCTCAGTCTTCCAGTAACAGTAAGGCAAAAAGAGCCAACCAGGCTCTATGAAAAACATCACAAGGATAAAAATGAGTGCTTGGTAAGTAAGGTTTAGAAGGAAAGAGCTTTTTAAATAAGGAAAAAACATGGTTTGTAAGAATCCTGATGGCTAGTTTACTCTAGACTGAAATGAAAATGATGGAATGTTTCAAGTAAGTTGAAGAGGGTATGTGAAGTCACAAAAAGTTATAAAAAAAAAATTGGACATGCTAAGTGCTGTTCTGGGGGGTGTCTGTGCCATGTTCTAGGAAGAATGTTGTCTCTGGGTCAATCAGACTAGACAGGTACAAATCCAAATTCGTACTTTTCCTGGAAAAAGCCAAACAGCTCCAGGACCAGGCAAAGCAGGGCTGGGATTTCTGGCCTGATATCTGGTCACGGAAATCCTGGCTGTTTCCTCTCCTTGGCCCAATAACTTCTGCAATCTTGATGCTTCTCTTTGCACTGTGTGTTTTTAATGCCCTTGTTCGTTTTGTCTCTAACAGACTAAAAGCTGTTAAACTCCAAATGGTCATCAGGCGAGGCTTCCAGCCGATTCCACTGGATGACCTGAGCAGCCCTCTGGACCGAGTGGCACCGTCTTTCCAAGGCCACTGTTGCAAGAGGAAATACCCAAACCCCCCTCGACGCCCACATGCCAGCTTCGAAGAAGTTACAGAAAACGGAACTCCATCCATAATCCCAAAGAATTTTGGGTATTACCTCTTGAGGGAAAAATATTAGGCAGAAAGTCAGTTATGAGCTTATGTGTGTGTGACATAAAAGTCTAATGTGTCCAGCATATGCATCTGCACCTCAGTCATCCTGACAATGTTTCACTGGAAGCCCGGCCTTTGCATCCTGCCCTGCCCCCTTCTACCTGATAACCTGCCAGGTGGAGATCCCCACCCCTTCTGCCTGACAAATCTTCCACAACCTCCCAGATACAGCCCAGTATCTGCATTTCAGTATTGCAGAACAGGCGGGGGTTGGATCTCATTTTCATAGAGGAGGGGGGGTTATGCACAGCCCTTAAGGAGGAATGCTGCTTCTATGTAGACAAGACAGGGGTGGCGAGGGACAACATGGCTCAACAACGTAAACGCTTAGAGGAAAGACAGTGGGACAGACTTCAGCAACAGGGATGGTTTGAGTCGTGGTTCACTAAGTCTCCCTAGCTGAAAATGTTAAACTCATGGTAATTCGTCAACAATATGTAACACACGGGGAAGGGAAAACAGATGGTCTCTAAGATTAGAGACCCTGGCCTAAGAGGAGTGGGGAATGAAGGGTTAAAAAGTTAAAAGCCGCCCCCCCCAACCTCCTCTGGTGAACTTTCCTGACCTCATTAGACTTGCTCTGCATAGCCATTCTCTGTAAAGTTAATTAGTCAGTAAATTACCCCAATGTGAGCGTAACCTTAGTTTCACCTAAGTAAGATAGAAGAAGTCACCGTATATCTCTTTGCCTCCTGGAACTCTGACCCCACCATGTGTCCCTTATCGCCATTCAGCTGCATTCCTAGGTATCATCAAGGCAGTTCCTGCAATCTTGTGTGGCCCTCCCTTTTGGCAATAGGAGGCTTTTTGATACTCCCTGTATAGGCCATATGGTTCTTTGAGGTCTAATCAGGCCCTTACTCGGTATCCTATACTCCCTGTATTCATAAATCAACTGGTTGTAAAATCACTTAACTTGTATCAATTGTTTACTCTATACCTCTGTCTGATCTATGCAATGATTGATTTTCTTTGTTTAAACGTGTATAAAAACCCCAACCCAAGACTATTTGGGGCCGCTCGCCTGTACTGGGACGGGGCCCCGACATGTCGGATCATCAATAAACTTTACCCTTTGTTAATTACATGAGAGAAGGTCTCTTGGAGCGTTTTTGGGGTGGCAAGAGTAATTCAACTCTAATTCAACTGTAACAGTGTCTGATTTCAAAATGACATTATTCCTTCTCATATATGCTATATATATATGTGTGTGTGTGTGTGTGTGTATTTGTGTATGTTGTATATTGTTGTATTTTATGTCTGAATGGTAAAAAATTCCTTAAGAGCTCTGTTTTAACTGACATAGGCAAATGAGTGTTCACATAAATTAAAACTATTTAATTAACCCAAATATCTTTTTTTTTTTTGAGAGGAAGAGTTAGAGACAGAGGAAGGTTTTCCTTTTTCTGTTGGTTCACCCCCCCAATGGTGCTGTGGCCAGCGCTGGGCAGATCCGAAGCCAGGAGCCAGGTGCTTCCTCTTGGTCTCCCTTGCGGGTGCAGGGCCCAAGCACTTGGGCCGTCTTCCACTGCCTTCCCGGGGCCACAGCAGAGAGCTGGCCTGGAAGAGGAGCATCTGGGACAGAATCCGGCACTCCAACCAGGACTAGAACCCGGGGTGCCAGCCCCACAGGCAGAGGATTAGCCTAGTGAGCCATGGCACCGGCCTCAAATCTTTTGATTCATGTGACCTAAGTAAGTATCTGATAGATTGTTTTAGCTTTGTTGATAGATACAAATTAAAATATTTTCAGGGTTATTGACATGTTTTGTGCCTGGGTTTGCTGGTCAAGCAAAAGTTATACTTACTTTTTTGGATATTCAAAGTCATAAAAGTTCAATTTTGACAAGAAAAAATGATGCAGGTTAGTGGTATAACGCAATGTTCATTAATTCCTATTTGAAGTAAAATTTAACTCGAGTTGTTCTTTGGCAAAACATGACTCAAGATTATAACCATACTAGTCTAATATTTTAGTTTCTTAAAACATCTGTAATTGTTAATAGTAAGTGGGTAAACATAAAAGAAATGTTTTCAAACTTTTGTACTGTTGGTCTTGTAAAAGTTGTAAAAGACTTTTGGATTTGACTACTTTAAAATAATTTGAAATTTTATGTTTCATTAAAATGCTTTGTTCTTATTTTAGAGGCTTTTTAGGATCATTTTAAATTGCAAATTAAGGAACCAATGCATAGCGGAGAGAAAAATGTTAAGGAAGCTATAAGAATGAGAATGTGTCTTGGTACTCAAGATGTGTTTTGAATAACAAAGAAAGCAAGTGATCTTTGTCTAACTGGAAATAAAACCGGTGTTTGGCAAGGAGAGAGAGGAACAAAACAGAATAAATAACTTAGGTAATATAAAAATGTTACAGAAGATTTGTAGCAGATAATTTTGTGTGAGATTACTTTGGCTGAGATTAGAAGGAAATTAATTCTATGAGTTTCTCAAAATTGAGCATTGTTAATTGTTAGGAAAAGAGTTGCAGATTTTTGCTTCCCCACATGGGGCACCAAAATGTTAGGGAAAGAGGTGCAGAATAGACAGGGGGCAGTGTACAAATTTACAGCCAGACTGCATTTATTCAGAGAAAATAAGTCTGTAGAGGTGGGTGATCAACTGCCCACATGCACATTAGTGGAGCACAGGGCAGAAAGCCCAACCCCAGGGGCTGGGCCTTTTTATGTTTTGGGTAGGGGCCAGCAGGTAGAGGGGAATTCCTGGAACTGGTCTTTCAGGTGTTCAGAGCAACTGATCTTTCAGGTGGCTGAAAGGGGTGAGGTATGAAGGCATTAGGGTGTGAAATCCAGTTGAGGCCAGTGCCTCGGCTCACTAGGCTAATCCTCCACCTGTGGCACTGGCACACCGGGTTCTAGTCCCTGTCGGGGCACCAGATTCTGTCCCGGTTGCCCCTCTTCCAGGCCAGCTCTCTGATGTGGCCTGGGAGTGCAGTGGAGGATGGCCCAAGTACTTGGGCCCTGCACCCCATGGGAGACCAGGATAAGTACCTGGCTCCTGCCATCAGATCAGTGCGGCGGCCATTGGAGGGTGAACCAACAGCAAAAAGACCTTTCTCTCTGTCTCTCTCTCTCTCACTGTCCACTCTGCCTGTCAAAAAAAAAAAAAAAAAAAAAAAAGAAAGAAAGAAAAAAGAAAAGAAATCCAGTTGAGTTTCAAGGGCAAGGAATACATTCCAAGGAATACATTCCAGTGTTTACCTCTTTGGGGCAATGAGGGAGAATGGCTGAGGTTTATGCCATTGTTCCATCAATCCTGACTCTGAGTATAGATAAGGAGAGGGGTGCTGATTTTTCTCTGGCTACTTCCTGCTGATAGGGGGCTTAGACATGGAGCCAGGACTTGAGCAGTGACCTATATTTGGGATCGGATTGATTGAAGACGAAGAGCAACCTTGCATTGCACCTGTGAGTTGGCTTGAGATATAGCAGTTATTTGTTTCTGCAAGAACCTTTGGAATGGGTTAATTATGCATGGCAGAAATAGGAGCACTATGATTATGAGGGCAAAAGGAGACACTAGAGCCATAGCCCATGGTGGAAACAAAGGCCAAAATGAGACAGAGTTACCTTGTAAATGCATCGTGTTAGCGTGTTGACATGAGAGGTGGGTCCTGTGGGGGTGGACTTATATGAGGGAGATGTAACTAGTTTTAATGAAGTAAAATGCACCCAGGGAGGTGCCCTTTGAGTTTGGCTGTGGTGGAGGTAGTCAATATCACCTGGTAGGGCCCGCTCCACTTTGATTTAGAGCAGCCTCATTTTGTTTTAGATAAACCCAGTCACCAGGTGGAAAGGTAGGGATATAGTCGGGAGGCAGAGAGTGTGGTTTGGGTAGGTGTGTATCTGCATACATCCATAAGTCATCGCACATTTCAGTAAGAAGAGAGGAGGAGGAATAGCTTCAGAGCTCTGTAGGGGAGGGAAGCTAGGTGAAAGAGGCCTTCCATAGGGAATTTCAGATGGGCTAAGCATTAAGGGCTTCTGGGGAAAAGATCCGATTCTTAACAGAGCTAAAGGGAGGAGTTTTACCCAGTCCAAGTAAACCTGGGTGGAGAGTTTAGTTAGAGCCTGTTCTAAAATTCCATTCATCCATTCTACTTTTTCCTGAGGAGGGGGGACGATAGGGGATGTGAAAATGCCATGAGCTATGAAGAGAGGCAGATACTATTTGAGTTATTTTAGAGATAAACTCTGGTCCATTGTCTGACTGATGGAAGCAGGCAATCCAAATCTTGGGTTAATATCATTTAATAATATAGTGGAAATGGTGGAAGCTCTTTTGTTAGTAGTGGGGGAAGCTTCCACCCACCCCAGGAAGGTGTCCACCATCACCAGAAGGCACCGTGTTTGCCTAACTGGTGGCATATGGGTGAAGTCAATCTCCTGGGAGTGATCCATGGGCCTGGTGAGTGGGGAATGGGGTGGCCTGATATTAGAATTGGGGTTAGCAGTTTGACAGGGGCTACAAGTCTGAGATATGTTATGCAGAGTTTCTCTTATGGCAGGAGTTAGGTGTATATGTGATCTCAGGAAGTGAAGAAGAGAGTTTGAGTTTGAGTGATAGAGAGAATGGAGGTTCTTTAGAAAGGTAACTTGGGAGCTGGCGCCGTGGCTCAATAGGCTAATCCTCCACCTTGCGGCGCCGGCACACCGGGTTCTAGTACCGGTTGGGGTGCCGGATTCTGTCCCGGTTGCCCCTCTTCCAGGCCAGCTCTCTGCTATGGCCAGGGAGTGCAGTGGAGGATGGCCCAGGTGCTTGGGCCCTGCACCCCATGGGAGACCAGGAAAAGCACCTGGATCCTGGCTCCTGCCATCGGATCAGCGCGGTGCGCCGGCTGCAGCGGCGGCCATTGGAGGGTGAACCAATGGCAAAAGGAAGACCTTTCTCTCTCTGTCTCTCTCTCTCTCTGTCCACTCTGCCTGTCAAAAAAAAAAAAAAAAAGGTAACTTGGAGAGAAGAAGGGAGTATTAGTTTTTCATCTAGAAACCACCATGAGTCCTTTCTAGATGCCCCTTGTTGTTGGAACTGAGAGATTTCTAGGTCTGAATACACAGGAGCTAAGTTACAGAGAAAAGATGGGATCCTCTCCCCAGGAGCCACTGTGTTAGCTGTCAGATCAGCCTTGTTATTAGCTTCAGATAGGGATTGTTTACCTTTCTGGTATCCTTTCCAGTGAATAACAGCAGCTTTTGTTGGCAGCTGGGCAGCCTCAAGTAGAGCTTTAATCAACTTGCCATTTATTATAGGGGTCTCTCGGGCTTGCCGTATCTGGGCATTGGAATGCAAAATGTTATAGGCATATCGGGAATCTGTATATATATTGACTGTCTTTCCTTTGGCTAAGGTGAAGGCTTGAACCAAGGCTAATAACTTGGCCTGTTGGGAGGTAGTGCCTTGAGGTAGGGGCCCAGCCTCTATGACCCTATGCAGGGAAAGGAGGAGGTGACATCACGATGCCCCTCAATTATTGCATATCCAGTGGGAAAAGGGGGAGCTTTAGAAGCACTACCATTAATGATCCAATGCAGGGCTTTGGGAATAGCAGTGTCTGAGGTGATGAAGGTCTGAGGTGATGAGGTCAGGAAAAATCAAGGAAGTCAGGACAGGAATGGGGTTCGAGGGGATGAGAGAAGTGGGGAGGAGAGTAGCTGGGTTGAGAGAAGAGCAGGGATGAAAAGTAACAGTGGGCTGGAGAAGGGTAGAGTGAAGAACAGTTTAAGTGGGTTAGGAAGGCTCAAGGCGGGTGCTTGTAGAAGAGCCTTATTTAGGATTTGAAACAGGGTCACTAGGGAGGAAGTCTCTTGCAAGGGCTCATCTAGATTGCCTTTGGTAGCATTTATGAAAGTTCAAAGAAATAGAACTATGGATTTTTCACTATGCAAAAGCAATAAGGTTATTCAAAACATATATATGTTAGGTAGGAAGTCAGGAATTTAGCCTATGTGTTTGTGAGGCAGGCCTGAAGAGCAGCACCTACTGTGAAAGCTCTGGAAGCCCAGCAACTTGCACTTCAAAGTCCTGCTCAGACCCCAGACCCCGATAACCTCCCAGGGGGTCCCAGCCCTTCCCCTCCCCCCCCCAGGAAAGCTCCCAGGGGAATTCTCTCTGCTCAGGACCAAATGGGTTACTTGGTTACATGGGGCAATAAAACCTCCTCAGATGCCCTAAGGGAAGCCCCCCTAGTCTGCCAGCAAATCTGGGGAGGAATTTGCTAATTTTCACCCAACAAACCCTTCCACCTGGACTCTCCATCCTTTGTCCTGGAGGAGAGGGGGAGGAGGGTAAACAGACTCCCTTAAAAACCTAGGGAGTCTAAGCAGACTGCTTGCTCTGCCCTCTGCCTCTCTGCTGAGCCACCTGCCCAGGTGTATTCTTTCCACTCAACCATGTAACCTCACTCTCCCCAGTCTGAGCGAGTGGGTGCTCTTTCTGTCCCTTCTGTCCTGAGAGATGCCCTATCCCAAATAAAGCCTTAGCACGCTGCCCTCTGTCTCACACCTGAATTCTTTCTTGTGTGAAGACAGAACCCCACAGCTTCCATGGCCTTCCCTCTGGTAACATACATATTTGTAATAATCTTGCTGTTTCATTTTGAAATCTATTTTAATGCAGTTTCTCCTTTTAGTAGTTTCTACTTAATTGGTCATTTTCTTTGTCAAATTTCTAGGCATCTCCTATAAGTTATTTCTTCCTCCTTGGTTCTGACTCTTGTGACCTAACATTAAAACTGTTTATCTTAGAAGCCTAAGGTCATAGGATACTTGATTCTTCTGTTTTTTCTTAATGTGTTTAATTTTTTTCATGTAATCAGACAATTCCTTCAGCTTTTGTTTTTAAGGGTATTCTTCTATTCAAGGTTTTCATGGGGCAGGCGTCATGGCTCACTTGGCTAATCCTCCACCTGCCGGCATCCCATATGGGTGCTGGGTTCTCGTCCAGGTTGCTCCTCTTCCAGTCCATCTCTCTGCTGTGGACCAGGAAGGCAATGGAGGATGGTCCAGGTGCTTGGGCCCCTGCACCCACATGGGAGACCAGGAGGAAACACCTGGCTCCTGGCTTTGGATCGGCATAGTTTTGGCCATAGTTGCCATTTGGGGGGTGAATCAACAGACAGAAGACCTTTTTCTCTGTCTTTCTCACTAACTCTATCTGTCAAATAAATTTAAAAAAAAAGATTTTCATGCTCTTAATAATATTTTTAGGCAGGAAGATAGAAATTAGCCTATGTGTATGAAAGCAGCCATGGGAAACAAAACATGTGCCCTGCAGAAGGAATGCAGCAGCCTTAGAAGCAGGCCTAGGAAAGCAGCCCAGTACTTTACACTACAAAACCCTGCCCCTCCAATAAAGGCACACCAGGAGAAACCTGTTTGCTTGGTGCAAAGGAGGTTATTGAGTCTGATAACATTACCTAATTTTGCACCTGGGAAATATTTTGTCCATCAGTGGTGTGTGTGTGTGTGTGTGTGTAGAAACAGTGAGAAGTAGACACCCAGACACCCAACCCTTAGAAATCCCAGTGATTATTAAGTCTTCTACTCACAGTCAACTTCATAGGGGCATCTGTGGAAATTTACAGTAGGTTTTTAAAAGAGCAGGGGAGCCCCAGGTCTCTGTTCTACCATTAGGCTGAGGCAGAGCTGAAGGACACAGGTGCTGACCACCAGGAGGAATCAGAGAACTTAAGCCTTGTCATCGATCTAGCGACAAGCCATGACATCTGAAACCAGAGACCGTCAACTCTTCCATGACCTCACCACACCAAAGTAATGGGGGGGAAATGGTGATGAAGGAGGGTGATGGGGATGCATGTCTCACAAGGAATTTCCATGTGGACAGGCAGTGAGCAAAGCAAGATTTATTTACATGAGAAACCTCTTGCCACAGCAGCCACTAGGGGGTCCCCAAGAGAGGGAGACCTGAAAAATGGAGTGGAGTTTTTTAACCACAATTTGGATGAGCAGAATAATAACAGCTAACAATCTATCAGAGGGACAGAATCATAATCTTGTCTAGCCTGCTCTTGTTAAAACAAAAAACCTTGGGAACGATCTGATAGGCAAATTCTGTGGTAAAATTAGGTTAGAAGGGTGGGATTGTTAACTTCCCTTCTATTCTCATGAGAAAATGAAACTCAGAGGAGTGGGCAGTCCACTTCTGTCTTGCTAATAGACAGGTTCTGGGGAGAAGCAAGTGTCTTGCCCACTCTTAAAAGGACTCCCCATTAGGTCATCTAGTCCTTACACCAGCACACCCTTCCTTAAAACCTCTTTATAAGCCCTCAAATACCCTCCTCCAACAGAATGGTACTCCTGTAACCACAATAAATGCATTTTTCCTTTTCAAATATTTACCTTAATGAAGGCACCCTCTGTTGCTGTAATCTTGTGAATAATATTTGCATAAGAATTTCAGAAGCCCACTGAAAAAAGGAGATGATTAGGAGTGTCAGGCTTTTGCCCCAACTGACAAAGAACCCTTTCCCCCCTCCCCCAACTGAGGCAGAAAGCCCCTGGGGTGACACCCTGGACTCCTCTGACTGGGTGGTGGGATGTGCCTCAGAACAAAGCCTGAAAATCTGCATAATTGTCAATTGAATAGATTCATTGTTTTATTTGAATCCTCGCCCTCCAATTACCCTGTCTCTTTAAAAATCCTCTGTACTGCGTGGTTTGGTAGAAAAGCACCTGTTTGGATTGAGAGAAACTTCTTTTTCTTTCCCCAAGGCTGCTGCTGCCTTCTTGCAATAAACCTTTTCCTCTGGCCAGGCCTCATCTTTGGTGAATTGAAGTGGCGAGCATCAAGAGCTGGATTATTCGCTCAATAACCACATTGGTGAGTGAACCAGAAGTTGGGTGTATTCTTCAAGTGGCCTGACCCTCTCACACTGGTAAGGAGGGCAATGGCCACTTGTACTCCCTCCCCAGAGCAGCTTGTGAGCTAACATGGTGGCTGGGACTCTGGGGACATCCAGCAGCTGTCCTTTCTCTTCCTGCTGCACATTAGCTACCTATTAGCACAATGGCTTCCATTTGTGTACAGAGTCAACAGCTCTGAGACTGAAATTTCTGTCTCTGCTCTTTGGGTTCATGGAATTTGGACCTGGCTTAGGTCATTTTTTGTGGTACTGGTTTGTGTGAAATCGGAGAATACCCCATAAAATCCACACTAAATTGTGGCCCCTTAAAGTTCCCTAGAAATGCTATCCGGGGTGCCACATGTACTACCGCAATTTGGGGTGCCATATGATTCACCATGGGCTTATTACTAAATCCTCGATATTAATAAGCTGAAGAGGGTTCTTGCCTAATATTTAGAGAAAAATTCTAAATACCAGCACAGATAAACGAGGCAGCATGGTACGTTTTAAGCTTTTATTTAGTGAGAAAGATGCATAGGAGAGTGAGAGCTTTATTTAAGGGAGAGAGGTGAATAGGGGTTCATACCAAGCACCAGGAACCAGCCATATGGATGACCATTAGGCCTGGAAGCCTAGAACACATGGCCTGAAGGCCTTGCACCCTGGAGGTGCAGGGCTACAATAAGCCCTGTCCTGGCAAGAGGCCAGGGAAGAAGAGCAGGTGGCTACACTGTGGCCAGACTGTTAACCCACTTCCAAAGGGGAGTGCTTAATTAACCTGATTGGCTTGTGGGCACCCAGGTGTGGGCAGGTAGGGGAATGAGGCCACACAGGGGCATGGCAAAGGCATCAGGTAGGGGCATGAGGCCACACAGGGGCATGGCAAAGGTGTGGTCTTCCAGCTCACAAACCTAATCCTATTACTAAGAAGAAAGTGGTGTCCTATTGTAATACTGCATGGCCTGTGTATGTGTTAAATTTAAGAGAAGATGGCTGTTAAGTGGATTTTTAAAATATTTATTTCATTTGAAAGTCAGAGTTGAAGTAGGCAGGCATACAGGTTAAAATTGATTAGGTTTGTGAGCTGGAAGGCCATGCCTTCACCACGCCTCTGTGTGATGTCATGCCCCTACCTGGCCACACCTGGGTGCCAACCAGCCAATCAGGTTAATTAACCACTCCCCTTTGGAAGCTGGTTAAACTCCTAGGACATGATGTGTCTGGCCCTTCTCTCCCCTGACCTCTTGCCAGGAGGGGGCTTGCTGTAGCCCCATAGGCTTCCAGGCCTAGATGCTCCTCCATGTGGCTGGTTCCTGGTGCTCGGTATGAACCCATGTTTACGTCTCTCTCTTAAATAACACTCTCTGCCTCTGCGTTGCTGCTGGTGATAAGTGGTGGATAGCAACTCGAGGTGCTTGCTGCACGTGGCTTTGGCCTGCTCTCTGAGTGTTATGGACACTACCCTAGTTTGCAGACTTTCCCCTCTCTCCTACCTGAACTAAACCCTCACTTTCCTGGCTCCCTGATCTCTTAAAAACTTGTTGTAAATTTCCACAGATGCCTCTGATGAAATTGACTGTGAGGAACAAGAATTAATGCAATAAAAGGTGTTTTTCAAGCAGAGTGCCAACTGAACCTGAAATGAAAATATAATTATCTTTATATATGTTAGTGTCCAGTACCATCACAGGGACTAGAGTTGCTTTCCAAATTAAATGCTCAAGTAAGTTTCTCAGGTTTCAACTGTGGAACAATAGGGTTAACTGAGGTTACTAAAAGCAAGAAGTAATTGTATTTAATTGATTAGAACATTTATTTATTTTTCTTTGATTGGCAGTTTTAAAACGGAGTTGTAACCATAATAAAACCATCTTCCTTCCCTTTTCCTTTTCACATTTTGTATAGCAAAAACCACTTACTGATATTCTGAATTACCTGAATTACTCTGGAGCTACCAGAGTAATTCAACTACCAGAGCTGTGCCGACCTGGAGTCAGGTCTCCCATGCAGGTGCAGGGGCCTAAGGACTTGAGCCATCCTCTACTGCTCTCCCAGGCCGCAGCAGAGGGTTGGATTGGAAGAGGAGCAGCCAGGCTTAGAACCAGTGCCCATATGGTATGCCAGCACCACAGGCAGAGGATTAACCTACAGTGCCATGGTGCTGGCCTCATAATGGTGGACTTTTGACCCCACTGACAAAGGATCCTCCAACCAACTGATGCTGACTCCCCTGGTTAAGAGGTCTCCATCAGAAAAAAGCTTGAACATCTACATATCATCAGTTAAGGTGACTCATCATTTTATTTCTAACTTCCCCCTGAAGCTACCCTTGTCCTTTAAAAACTCTTTGGGAGAAAGAGAACATTTTACATCAAGAGCTCTCTCTTGGAGCCATGCTGTGGCATAGAGAGCTGGGCCTTCACCTGTAGTGCTGGCTTCCCTTGTGGGCACCATTTCATGTGCATGTTGGCTTCTCTCCTGATTCAGCTTTCTGCAGTGCAGGATGCTCCAGGTGCTTGGGCCCAACACCCAGCTGGGGAGGTTCCTGGCTCCTGGCTTTGAATCAGCCCAGCTCTGGCCATTTTGGCTATTTTGGGGGTGGGCCAGCAGGTAGAAGACCTTTCTCTGGCTCTCCCTCTCTCCATGGCTCTGTTTCTCAAGTGAATGAATAAAATATTATTTAGTTATTTATTTGACAGGTAGAGTTATAGATAGAGAGAGACAGAGAGAAAGGTCTTCCTTCCATTGGTTCACCCCTCAAATGGCTGCTGCAGCTGGCACTGTGCTGATCTGAAGCCAGGAGCCAGGTGCCTCCTCCTGGTCTCCCATGCGGGTGCAGGGCCCAAGCACTTAGGCCATCCTCCACTGCCCTCCTGGGCCACAGCAGAGAGTTGGACTGGAGGCGGAGCAACCGGGACTAGAACCCGGTGCCCATATGGGATGCCAGCGCTGGGCCCCAAATGAATAAAATCTTTAAAAAAAAGGATAAATATTTTTCCCCCAAGATGCCAGCTTCTAGAAATAAGCTCTTTCCTCTTGCCAACATTCATCTCTGTTGAATTGGCAACCCACATGGTGAGCCATAAGGGCCTGATTATTTGTCAGGTAATGGAGTTAAAAGATTTAAAAACTGTTGCAGAGATTTCTATATTTTTCTGTCTCATAACATATGCTATGCCTTATATACATGTACATGTAGTATGTTTAAAAGTTTGTTGTGCTTATTGTGTTAAAATCAAAATATAATTTTTCAGCTAAGCACAAACAATATATGAAAGTGATGCAATGTTCATTGCTTTCTATGAAGTTCAATTTTAAAGTTGTTCTTTGGCAAGATCATAACCTAAGAATAACCATACTTATCTAATATTTTAGTTTTTCAGGCAATCTAAGTATAAATGCTCAAAATGAATTGGTGGTCTTTGCTTTCTCTGCACTTTGCTGTGGCACCTTGTGCATCATCATGTCCTTGCAACCTAAGGGTGTCTCCCTCTCCTCATCTGCCTGAGAAATGGACTCAAGTATGCAGTGACTGGAGAGGAGGTAAAGAACTGTATGCAGTGCTTGATCAGAATCAGCAACCAGGTTCAAACTGATGTTGCATACCTTGCTGCATTCATAGATGCATGTGAGATGGAGCAAACATTGGCATCGAGAAGACAGGTGAGCATTTCTGCCTCATCCTTGACACCAAGGAGCCATTTTGCTGATCACTACATCACAGCAGAAGGCATGTGGTGGCAGACATGAGCAGGAGGTGATATACAAACTGAACTACAAGCTGTGCAAGGTGAGGAGGATGACTAGGTACAAAGGGAATCCCACCCCTGATGGCTCATGATGCTTGTGCCGTGTGCAACCCAGATCCTCTCATCAAGGTGATCATGGGATGGATTACTGATTTGGGGACCCTATGCAATTTGACATGAGGTAATAAACCTCAGGTTTTCCTGCCCAGGGATAAGAGCATCTCTGACTTACAGTGGCTGCAGAGAGATAAAGCAGTGTAGCAGCTAGAGAGACCAAGGACTACTCTGCAGTAGCATGACTTTTTTTTTGCTCCAATAAATGATAAATGCTCATGAAAAAATAAAAAATGAATTGCTAAATGTAAAAGATAGATTTTTCTAAATACATGTACTCTTGGCTTAAAATATATAGAAGGGATTGGGCCTTTTGGTAAATGTTTTTATAAGTTGTTATACACAGCTGTTCAAAATTACTTGCTAAGTTATCACTAAACAATAAGTTACCTACAAGATGGTAGAGTCAAAATGAAGCCTTTGGTAGGGGTGGTATCTGTGCCTTTAACAGATAAAAACAATGGTCTAGGTGGGAGTGATTTTATTTTCTGCTCTTTTCTTCCACATGTGCAGGGGATGAACTCTAAGAGCATCAGCTTGACCAGCCCATGATATGTCAGTGGATTGTTCAGCTCAGGCCTTAAAGCTTTTTGGAAACCAACAGCATCACAGCTCACTTGGACTTCACACTGTTATTTTCAACATGAAAATGTGTGGTTTGGTAGGGGTTTCTTATTCCTCAAAGAGGCAGAGAGCCTGACTGGCAGAGGAAGGCTGCAGAATAGGAATGTGTGTGTTATTTCTTTCACATGCCCACAGTTTACTTTAAAACAGGAAAATAGGGCTTCTGCAAAATGGAAAATTTTGGTTTATGACTGATTTTGAGGAGTGGCTTTCCTTTTCATGGACACTTAATTTTGTTCTGATGTTAATATACCAAATTTCTTCTGTGTATCAGATAACACCACCATTCACAAGTTAAAATTCTTGGTATTTGGATATCTGTTAGATGCTACTAAGAAAATATAAATAAGCTTTCTTTTTAAAGCTTTTGAGGTGGTGTCACAGAATAGCGTGTTGTAGATACAGTCAACTGCTTTGTTACCTTCCAAGTAGGCATCTGTAAGTACTGAAACTTAAGATGGCAGGTGATATCCTGTAGACACTGCTGTTCAGATTGAACATAACTGACAGTTCATTCTTTCTCTCTAAAAGTGATAGGGGATTTGTAGCTTAGTGGTTTTTCATTTATTTATTTCTAATTTGCTGCTAATAATGTATATGAATTTAACATTCTGTGTAAATTGTCATTTGTTACTGCACAGTTTATGCAGTGTTGCTTTGCCAAATAAAAGTTCAAAGTAAAAAAAAAAGTTATCAAGGATAAGAAATATTGTTTTAAGATTTATTTAAGTATTTGCAAAGCAGAATAACACACAGAGAGAGAGAGAGAGAGAGGTCCTCCATCCACAGGTTCACTCCCCAATGGCTGGATCTTGCTGATCTGAAACCAAGAGTCAGGACCCTCATCCAAGTCTCCTACATGGGTGCAGAGGCCAAAGGATTTGTGCCATCCTCCACTGCTTTTCTAGGGCATTTTGAACCAGTGCTCTTATGAAATGCCAGCACTGCAGGTGGAGGTTTAACCTACTATGCCACAGTGCTGGCCCCAATAAAAATAATTCTAAATCAACATACCAAAATTTAGAATTCTTTAAAGTTTTATTTATGTATTTGAAAGGCTGAGTTAGAGAGTGGGACAGAAATCTTCAACCTACTGGTTCAATGCCAGACGTCTGCAGCAAGCAAGCACTGGGCCAGACTGAAGGCAGGAGCCTGGAGCTCCATTCAGGTCTCCTACATCTGTGGCAAGGATCTAAACACTTGTGCCATTTTCCTCTGCTCTTCCCAGGCCATTAGCAGGGAATTTGATCTGAAGCAGAGCAGCCATGACATGGGACCATATGGATGCCAGCATCATAGGTGGTGGCCTTACCCACAACATCACAGTTCCAGCCCTGACATTAAAAATGTTCAAGGTACAGCCAGCATCATAGGTTAAGTGCAGTCTATCATACCTGCATCCCATAAGAGTACATGAGTCCAGACTGCTCCACTTCTAATCCAGCACCCTGTGAATGTGCCTGGGATAGCAGAAGATGGCCCAAGTGCTGGGACCCCTGCCACACATGTGGGAGAACCACATGGACTTCCCTGGCTTCTGGCTTCTTCAGTCTGTCCCAGCTCTAGCTGCTGCAGTCACTTGGGAAGTGATCCAGATGATCACTTTCTCATTGTCTTTATTTTTTTGGAATTCTTTCAAATAAATAAAACTAGGATTTATACCCCACATTAAGTTAGTAATTTTTTTACAAAAATATAAATATTAATGATAATTTTTTGCAAGAGGTTTTCATATTTGATTTTAAAGTCTAATAACTTTCTACAACACATTTATTTATTTGAAAGGCAGAGATACAAAGAGAGAAAGAGGGAAAGAAAGATTTTCCATCCAATGACTCTACCCAAATGACGGGGTTGGGTCAGGCAGGAGCCAGGAGCTTCTTCTGGGTCTCCCATACAGGTTCAGGGGCTCAAGTACCACATTTCTCTGCTTTGCCCAGGTGCACTAGTAAAGAGCTGGATTAGAAGTTGAGCAGCTGGGATTCAACTGAGCTGGTACCCATATAAGAGGCTGGCACTGCGGTGGAGGTTTAACCTTCTATGCCACAGTACCTGCCCCAGTCTAATAACTTTTAAAAATTTTGAGAGAGATAAAGAGAGGGAGAGATAGAGTGAAATATCTTCCATCTACTAGTTCACTCTTCAAATACCCACAATGGCTGGAGCTGAGCCAATCCAAAACAGGAGCCAGGAGCTTCTTGCATATCCCCCATGCTCAAGCACACCTTGCACTGCTTTCCTAGGATTAGCCTACAATGCTCTCTAAATAACATTTTCAACCATCTAATCAACTGCAACTTCTTTTTTTTTATTTATTTATTTGACAGATAGAGTTAGACAGTGAGAGAGACAGAAAGGTCTTCCTTCCATTGCTTCACCCCTAAATGGCTGCTACAGCCATTGCAGTATGGATCCGAAGCCAGGAGCCAGGTGCTTCCTCCCTGTCTCCCAGGTCTCCCATATGGGTGCAGGGGTCCATGCACTTGGGCCATCCTCCACTGCCTTCCTGAGCCACAGAAGAGAGCTGGACTGGAAGAGGAGCAACTGGGACTATAATCCAGCACCCATATGGGTTGCCAGCACTGAAGGTGGAGGGTTAACCAAGTGAGCCACCAACTGCTTTTCTAGGATTAGCCTACTACGCTACAGTGCCTGGCCCCTCTAATAACATTTCAACCCTCTCCTCAACTGTGTGGGGAGCAACTCGGACTAGACTAAGTTACTGGAATTAAGACTTATTCTATGCATCTGCTCTCCCACAATATGGCGCTGAGAAGGGAGTAGCAGCTTCTACACAGCTGCCTCCAGTTCAACCAATAAACTGTAGGACCTACTCCTGATTGGAGGAGAGCAGCGTACTCGGCGTGTGGGTAGCAGAGTTGGGATTGGTGGTAGAGGACTATAAAGGAGGAGAGAGACAACATGCACCAGGAACATCTAAGGGGAACATCTATCTGAAGGAACACCTGTGCAGCCCCCGAGAGAGCCGGCCGGCGGTGTGCCGCTCCCCTGCGGAAGTGGGGAAAGTGGCTAGGGGGAACCGCCCTTCCACGGAGGTGGAAGGGTTGGTAGCCAACCCAGGAAGAACCAGCAGCAAACCCGGGGAGGGCCGAGCAGACAAAAGAACAGCGCAGGGTCCTGTGTCGTTCCTCCACGAAGAGGGGGAGTGACATAATGGTGCCGTGACTCGGATAGGAAACCTAGGAGGGAAGAAGCAGGAAAATACTGGAGAGAGAGACTAGAAGAGCCTAGGGGAAAGCCGGACGGAAAAGGTGCCGGAAGAAGCTATTGAAAGCCTAGGCATAGACTCGGATACGGACTGTGGGAAAGAAGTTAGGATTTAAAGTGAAAGCAAGAAGAAACTTAGACTCAGATACGGACTGCAGGTTGAAAGTGAAAGTGAAATCTATAAGAAACTTAGACTTGGATACGGACTGTGGGGAGAGGCCAGGAGAAATGAGGGAGGAATATTGTTGGAAGAAAAATTAGGGAAACATACCGGGTAGAGAAAAATGTTAGGGAGGATGAAGCCGCGAGTGCAGGCCGAGGTGGAGACGTAAGCTATCTTGGAATTCTTCAAGTCAGCCCGGGGAGCAAAAGGCAAAAATCTGGAACCAGAGGCAGAGACATGGGCCGCCAGGTTGGAATTCGCCAGGTTAGTCTGGGGAACTTGGACTGAATGCCGGTGGCGGAAACGTGAGCTACGCTGTGTGATTCGCGGAAGCCGCTGCGTGCAGAGAGAGCACGGGGTGTGAATAGATAGGGAACGCGGGGCTGGCGCGAAGGCCATGGTGCGGGCGCGAAGGGCGTGGAGACTGCAGAGCGCGCGAAGCCGAGCCGCGCAGAGCCAGGAGCCCGCCGCAGGGCGGGTGCCGGGAAGTTGCGCAGATGAGAGAAGCGTGGGCTGAAGCGGCGCAAAGCCGGGAAGCCGCCGCGGGGCAGCGAGGTGCCGAGAAGCAGCCTCGGGGCGGGCACCGGGAACCGCGAAGATAAGAGAAACAGAAGTTTAGAAGTAAAATGAGAGAAATAGGAATGCTGGCAGATAGAAGTAAAATAGGAGAAATAGGAATGCCTGGAGATAGAGAAATAGAGAAAAATAAGGCCTCCCCACAACACGGCAATGAGAGAGCTTGGATTCGGTCTGCCTTATTAGTAAGACGATAAGCACCTGTGGGCAGCTGCAGGTCACCGAAGACAGGCACGTTATCAACACCAATAAGTCTCCCCACAAGACGGCAATGAGAGGGCTTGGATTCGGTTTGCCTGATTGCTAGGGCTTGTAAGCACCTGCAGGCAGTTCTAGCAGGGCAGAGCATGCGCTGCAGGGCACCGAACACAGGCACGCATCAGCGCCTAAAAACCTCCTCACAACATGGCGAAAAGAGGACCCGGATTCGGTTTGCCTGATTGGTAGGGCTTGTAAGCAAGCACCTGTGGGCAACTCTAGCAAGCAGAGCAGAGTGTGTGCCGCGGGGCACCGAAGACAGGCGCGTATCAACGCCAAAAAATAAAAAGAAAGGGGGATCTGTGGGGAGCAACTCGGACTAGACTAAGTTACTGGAATTAAGACTTATTCTATGCATCTGCTCTCCCACAATATGGCGCTGAGAAGGGAGTAGCAGCTTCTACACAGCTGCCTCCAGTTCAACCAATAAACTGTAGGACCTACTCCTGATTGGAGGAGAGCAGCGTACTCGGCGTGTGGGTAGCAGAGTTGGGATTGGTGGAAGAGGACTATAAAGGAGGAGAGAGACAACATGCACCAGGAACATCTAAGGGGAACATCTATCTGAAGGAACACCTGTGCAGCCCCCGAGAGAGCCGGCTGGCGGTGTGCCGCTCCCCTGCGGAAGTGGGGAAGGTGGCCAGGGGGAACCGCCCTTCCACAGAGGTGGAGGGATGGCAGCCAACCCGGGAAGAACCAGCAGCAAACCTGGGGAGGGCCGAGCAGACGAAAGAACAGCGCAGGGTCCTGTGTCGTTCCTCCACGAAGACGGGGAGCGACATAATGGTGCCGTGACTCGGATAGGAAGCCTAGGCAGGGTTTAGTGTCGTTCCTCCACGAAGAGGGGGAGCGACAAACTGCAATTTTTTAAAATTTCCATTTGATTGACTCCTTTCCAACAACTAGCCATCTCTTATAAGCTATTGTCTCCTCCTTTATTGTTTAGTTATGGCCTTTCATTAAAAATGCTTGGCCTCAGGCCAGCGCCATGGCTCAATAGGCTAATCCTCCACCTTACAGTGCCGGCACACCGGGTTCTAGTCCCGGATGGGGCGCCGGATTCTGTCCCGGTTGCCCCTCTTTCAGGCCAGCTCTCTGCTATGGCCCGGGAGTGCAGAGGAGGATGGCCCAAGTGCTTGGGCCCTGCACCCACATGGGAGACCAGGAGAAGCACCTGGCTCCTGGCTTCCGATCAGCATGATGCACCGGCCACAGCGCTCAGGCTGCGGTGGCCATTGGAAGGTGAACCAATGAGAAAAGGAAGACCTTTCTCTCTGTCTCTCTCACTGTCCACTCTGCCTGTCAAAAAAAAAAAAATGCTTGTCCTTACAGCTGACATTGTGGCACAGCAGGTTAAGATGCTGCCTGTGATGGCAGCAACCCATATGGGCACTGGTTTGATTCCTCGTGGCCCACTTCTGATTCACCTCCTAGCTAATGCACCTGGGAAAACAGGAGAGGATGGCCCAAGTCCTTGGGACCCTGCGCCCATGTGGAAGACCTGGATGGATCTCCTGGCAGTGGTTTCTTCCTGGCCCAGTTCTGGTTGTAGTGGCCATTTGGCTAATGAACTAGCAGATGGAAGATCTTTCTCTCTGTTCTCTCTCTCTAACTCTACCTTTGAAATTAATTAATCTTAAAGAGAAATGTTTATCTTAGAAGACTAGGATATTAAGAGTACCTATTTTTTTGTAAAGATTTCTTCATTTGTAAGCCAGAGTTCACAGAGAGAGAGGAAGAGACAGAGATCTTTGGTCTACTGGCTACAATGGCTAGACCTGAGCCACAATGGCCAGGAGCCAGGAGCTTCTTCTGGGTCTCACACAGGGACCCAAGGACTTGGCAATTTTTCATTATTTTCCTTGGCGCATTAGCAGGGATCTGGATCTGAAATGGAATATTCAGGACTGGACAAGTGCCCATGTGGGACGCCTGTGTCACAGGGGCTGGCTTTACACAACATGCCACAACACTGGCCCCTATACTTGACTTTTCTAGATGTATTTAAACTGTTCTATGGATTTTTTTCTGCTTTTGTTTCTAAGATGTATTATTGTCTTTTTTGTTAAAGATTTATGTATTTATTTGAAAGGCTGAGTTACAGAGAGGCAGAGAGAGAGTTAGAGAGAGGTCTTACATCTGCTGGTTCACTCCCCAAAAAGCTGCAATGGCTGGAGTTATGCCAATCTGAAGCCAGGATCCAGGAACATCATCTTTTGGGTCTCCAACACTAGTGCAGAGAGGCCAAGTACTTGGGCCATCTACTGCTTTTCCAGGCCATAGCAGAGAGCTGGATCAGAAGTAGAGCAGTCAGGACTTCAACTGCCCCCATATGGGATGCCAGCACTGCAGGCGGTGGTTTACCTGCAGTTCCACAGCACCTGCCTCAGGTGTACTTGTTTCTAAGTGTTCTCATTCTTTTATAAGGTTGAATGCTTACAGATTCCACACATACTCTTTCAATGTCTAAGTTTGGGTACCTTTCCATTAGGTTTAACTTCTAAGTTATCTGGGGGAACTTCCCATTAGAAGAAGTACAGTACAAAAGGATTTTCTTTATCTTTTGGTAACTAATTACATGAGGGAAAGAAATTTTGTGTTTTGTCAAGATAATCTCATGTATTTTCTATCTTTGGGTTTAGAAAACTGAATGTTAAGAGTTGATTTTTAATATCTTTTAAGTGTATATTTCTACTAATCAAATATTAAATATACTTAATATGTAATAAATATATTTAAACATAATTTGACTCTTTATATAAGTGAATGATTATTACCTCATAATAATCAAAGATCCTATGTTAATGAAGTATTTTTTTCAATTTTGATATCCTTGACATTTTTTTTAAATAAAAGTTCTAAATTAACTGCTTTGACCTTGATTTCTTTGTGGATCCCTGGAAATCAACAAAGGATATAGTTTTCAACTTGCAGAGATGATGGCTAATTAGGCTCACTTTACATGAAAACTATTATCTAGTTGCAATATCATAAATTTTAAGTTGTTACATTGATATAGAAATGTTATTGATGTAAGTTTTCCAGGGGTTATGTAACATTGAGAAGTCCAATGGTGAAATATTACAAGTTGCTGTTCTTAAAAAAGGGGAGGGGGGTCCTTTGGGTACTTTAGAAGAATTTTGAAATTGCTCCAGTGTTATCATTGCCTGAAATGATGAACTGGTTTGTAAAATACTGCTGTGCTTTTTCAAATCCTGTGGGCATCTCCTTTGCTAAATTGCTAAATTAGTTTAAAAATTTTAATTGTGATGATTTTGTCTTTGTCATCCACAGTTCTAGTTCTTCTCCAGGAGGATTTATATTTATAAGACCATTAAAAATAATTATAAATATGGGTTTCTCATGGAAGATCAATGGAGTAACCATGAATTTCTAGAACTCAAAAAAAAAAAAAAGACAGAATTGTGAAACTGCTGATGGAGATCAAAAGAGAAAAAAGAGAAAAAAAGTAATTATAGGACTCAATGAACTGGTGAAATTGGTGGGTTTTTTATGTCTTAGTTAAAACATTGTTCTGTTTTTAAAAAGATTTATTTATTTATTTGAAAAGCAGTGTTACAGAGAGGCATGGGTAGAGGTTTTCCATCCACGGTTCACTCTCCAAATGGCCATAATGGCCTGGGCTGGGCCAATCTGAAGCCAGCAGCCAGCAGCTTCTTCAGGGTCTCCCACATGGGTGCAGAGGCCCAAGGGCTTCAGCCATCTTCTACTGCTTTTCCAGACCACCCCAGAGAGTTGGATCAGAAGTGGAACAGCCAGGACTTGATTTGAATCAGTGGCCATATGTGATGCCAGCACTGAAGGGGGAGGTTTATTTAACATTTTATGCCACAATGAGGGCAACCTCTAATAACATTTTCAATCATCTTCTGAACTGCAGCTTTTTTAAATTTCCATTTGATGGACTCCTTTCAAATTTCTAGTCATCTCCTGTAAGCTATTTTCTCCTCCTTTATTGTGGCCTGAGTTAGAAACGCTTATCTTTATGACATTGTGGCATAGCAGGTTAAGCTGCTGCCAGTGACAGTAGCAAACCATATGGGCACTGGTCTGATTCCTGGTAGCCCAATTCTGATCCATCTCCTAGCTAATGCACCTGGGAAAGTAGGAGAGGATGGCCCAAGTCCTTGGGTCTCTGTAGCCCTGTAGGAGACAAGGATGAAGCTTTTGTCTGTGGCTTCAGCCTGGCCCATCCCTGTAGTGGTGGCCATTGGGGAAGTGAACCAACAGATGGAAGGTCTCTTTGTTTTCTCTTTCTGTAACTCTGCCTTTAAAATAAATGTTAAAAATGTTAATAAATAAATGTTAAAAAGTTTACCTTAGAAGCCTAGGATAATAAGAGGGCTTGATTATTTACATCTGTGTTTTTCAAGATTTCTTTATTTGAAAAATAAGATTTGGGTAGGGTAGCTTGATATCACGGTGCAGAGGCTGTTGGCTCTTGGTATGAGAAGCATCCCTTGCTATGTGCCAGAATCACAGCACTGTGTCTTTCCTACACAAAGTGGGGAGCACACACATTCCTTTCTCCACCCTACTCCACTCCACTCTCTGTTTCTTCTGCCTTTTTTGGCTCCAGTTTTCTCTGATTTTGTTTTTTGGTTTCTTAAGGTAGAATTGCAGATAACTGATTTTATATTTTTTTATGAAATATAGATCTTTACAGCTATTTCCTCCTAAGCCTTGCTTTGCCTTTAGTCCATTAATTTGTGTTGTACTTTGATTCTAATCATCTTATTTCTGAATTTCCCATGTGGTTTCTTCAATAACTCACTGTCCATTTGGGAATATGATTCTTATTTACTACAAGTTTGAAGAATTCTCTAATATCCTTCTGGTTTTGGTTTCTAGGGTTGCAAATTTAATTTTTTTTTTTATTTGAGAAACTTAAGAGACAGAGCAAAAGGGAGAGAGAAGCACAGGGATCTCCTATCAACTGGCTTTCTCCAGTCCAGGCTTTCTCCTGGACTCCACTAGCCTAAGGCCTAGCACTTAGAGCTCAGTATAGATTTCAACAGTTTGCAGAGACACACAATGTCTAAAGTACTTTTGAAGATGAGTTTTACTATTAATTCTCATAGCACAACTCATTAAGGACAGAGGTCCTACATAGGGAGTAAGTACACAGTGACTCCTATTGTTGATTTAACAATTGACACTTTTATTTATGATGTCAGTGATCACCTGAGGCTCTTGTCATGAGCTGCCAAGGCTATGGAAGCCTTTTGAGTCCACAAATTCTGTTAGTGTGTAGACAGGGCCATAAGAAAAGTTGAAAGTTCTCTCTAGCCTTCTGAAAAAGGTACCTCCTTTGATGTCCTCTTCTTTCTACTGGGGTCTCACTAACTGAGATCATTTATGTAGATTTTTTTTTTTTTTTTTTTTTTTTTGCTATAGTGCCTTGGCTTTTCATGCCTATAATGCTCTCATGGGATTTTTAGCTAGATCTGATATCATTGTGCTGCTTAGGGCATTTGTCATTCTGTGAGTCTGCTGTGTGGCCTGCTTCCCATGTTGCATCATTCTCTCCTTTTTAATTCTATCTATTGTTATTAGTAGACACTTGATCTTACTTATGTGATCCCTTTGAGTCTATCTATATGAACAGTTACACATTTGTTTTTTAAGGATTTATTTTTCTATTTAAAAGTCAGTTACACACAGAGAGAAAGAGAGGCAGAGAGAGAGAGAGGGAGGTCTTCTATCCGATGGTTCACTCCCTAGTTGGCTGTAACAGCTAGAGCTCTGCTGACCCAGAGCCAGGAGCTTCTTCCAGGTCCCCCACAGAGGTGCAGGGGCCCAAAGACTTGGGCCATCTTCTACTGCTTTTCCAGCGCATAACAACTAGATTGGAAGTGGAGCAATCAGGATCCAAACCAGTGCCCATATGGGATGCCAGCACTGGAGGTGGGATTTGAAGTGGTGCCCTTGTGGAATTCCAACACTGCAGATGGGCGGCTTTATCCTCTAAGCCATGGCCCCAGCCCCTTCTATATGTATTGTTTTCATCATTCAGCTTTTGAACTCTTTGTATCCCTGACTTTTTTTTTGTTTTTTTTTTTTTTTTTTGAGTTTTTATTTTATTTTTTTCTTTTGGGGCCACTGCTGTGTTAAAGAAGATAAACTGCAGCTTACAGCACTGGCATCCCATACAGGCCCAGGTTCAAGTCCCAGCTGCACCATTTCCAATCCAGCTCCTGGCTAATGTGCCTGGAAAAGCAACAGAAGATGACCCAAGTACTTGGACACCTGCACCCACATGTGAGACCCAGAATAAGCCCCTGCCTCCTGGCTTTGGATTGGCACAGCTCTGTTGTGGCCATCTGGAGAGTGAACCAGTGGATGGAAGATCTATATCTCTTTTCTCTAACTCTGCCTTTCAATTTAACAAATCTTTAAGAATCATTTTGTCCTACTGTGAAATCATTAAACATTTCTCTTTATATTAATACACATTGTATTGTTCCTAGCTTTTTTAGTTTAGCCTGGTAATCTTTGCCTTTTTAAACTATTCAACTGAGAAATAGCTATAGATACCTGTGGGATACAATGTGATCATTTGATGAGTGTTAATTCTGGAATTGTCTAATCAGAATAATTCATTCATCACCTCCTATACTGTATGGTGAGTACTTTCAAAAGCCTCTCTTAACAAGCTGAAATATGAAATACAGCATTGTAGTTTCCATGCTTTGCAGTATAGCTGTAGACTCATTTCTCCTGTCTACTGGAGACTTTGTGCCCCATGACCAATGTATCTCCTTTGTCCTTAATCCACCATTTCTCCCCCTCACTCACTGGTAACCACAATTCTTGTCTACTGACATGCATTTCACAGGTGTACTCTGGCAAGCCCAAAACTGGGGACAGGGAGGTGGGGGCTTAGTCTCCACCCTTGGCCCAGGCAAGTACCCACAGGGCCCACTGGAGTGGTGGTGCTCTGCTATCCATATCCCTCCTCCAGCTGTGATCAGGTGCCTAGGACAGCTGCTATTCTCCTATTGGAGCTCCCTCCCACAGCCATGGCTGGGCACCCAGCTGTGGCCCAGGCAAGCCATTGCTGGGTGGGCATGGATAATGGATGGACGAGGGTGATGGGTGAGGGTGTGTAGTGCAGGAAGATGAAGATGGTTAGGAATCATGGGAAGCCAGCCCTTACCATGTTACCATTTTTCCTTTTAATAAATTTCGGAAATTATTAAAATCCCCTAAATGTCCCACCACTCTGGTAGGTAAATTTGCAGCTTCTACAGAATGCCACTATTTCTAAGGTATGCTAACTAGATACAATGTTGGGAGTTCTCTCACCTCATCCTAACTCATATTATGCTATACATAGCACCCATACTGAGTTAGATCTTGGAATTCTTGGTAATAAAGAAGCAATAGGACTCAGAATACTGACTCAAAAACCTAGAAAAGTGAAATACTTAAAAATCTGAACATTGCCAACCAAGGCTGCCTTGATCACTCTGCAAAAGCCCACAACAGCCAGGGTTCTATCTATGAAAGCCAGGAGGTAGGGACTCCATGTGGGTTTCCATGCAGATGGCAGAAAACCAAGTTTTTGAGCCATG